CACCGTCGACAAACCTGAGTGAACGCGTGAGAGTGGGGGGGCGACAGCATCCAAACATCCCAGTTCACCACAACACTCTATGCCTGTGAACCCTCCAGACCTGCCCCTGTACCTAAGAAAAAACTATTCACTAAAGGCTTGACTAAACAAATATGTTTTCAGCCTAGACTTAAACACTGAGACTGTGTCTGAGCCCCGAGAGAAAGCTCTACCCCCAGCTGTAGCCCTCACTATTCAAGGTACCAACAAATAGCCTGCACTTTTTGATCGAAGTAGGCATGGTGGATCATAAAAGACCAAAAGTTCGCTCAGGTACTGTGGCGCGAGACCATTTAGTGCTTTATAGGTCAATAGTAGTATTTTATAATCAGTGTGAAATTTGATTGGGAGCCAATGCAGTGTGGATAAGATAGGGGTGATGTGGTCATATCTTCTGGTTCTAATAAAGACTCTCGCTGCTGCATTCTGGACTAACTGGAGCTTGTTCATGCTCCTACTGGAACATCCAGACAGTAAGGCATTACAATAATCCAACCTAGAGGTAACAAAAGCATGGACTAATTTTTCTGCATTGGGTAGTGACATTATATTTCTTATCTTAGCAATATTTCTGAGATGAAAGAAGGCTATCCTAGTAAGTATCCAAGTACTTCTGTCTTGTCAGAATTAAGTAAGAGAAAGTTAATAAGCATCCAGTGTCTAATGTCCTTTACACATTCCTCAACTTTATTATGCTGGTGTCTGTCATCTGGCTTTGCTGAAACATACAACTGTGTGTCATCAGCGTAACAGTGGAAGCTAATACCATGCTTACGGATAATTTTACCCAGAGGTAGCATATATAGAGAAAAGAGCAGTGGGCCTAAAACAGAGCCTTGCGGAACACCAAACTTTACCTTAGCATGAGAAGAGAAGTCACCATTTACATCTACAAACTGATAACGATCAGTCAAATAAGACCTGAGCCAGGAAAGGGCCGTTCCCTTAATGCCTACTACATTTTCTAGTCTATCGAGGAGAATAGCATGATCAATGGTATCAAAAGCTGCACTAAGGTCAAGCAGCACAAGCAAGGAGACACAACCCTGATCAGAGGCCAGCAGTAGGTCATTTACCACTTTAACCAGCGCTGTCTCTGTGCTATGATGAGGCCTAAATCCTGACTGATACATTCATGAATGTTATTCCTATGTAAGTATGAGCATAACTGCTGTGCTACAACCTTTTCTAGGACCTTGGAAATAAAGGGGAGGTTTGATATTGGTCTATAGTTAGACAGCTGACAGGGGTCAGGTCAGGTTTTTTAATCAAGGGCTTGATAACTGCTAATTTAAAAGATTTAGGTACATAGCCAATGCTAAGGGAAGAATTGATTATTTTTAGAAGAGATTTGATTGTTTCTGGAATTATCTGTTTGAGGAAACAAGTAGATAAAGGATCTAGTAAACAGGTTGATAATTTTGATGATGAAATTAGTGAAATTAGTTCAGTCTCTTCAAGGGGAATAAAACGTTGTAATTGTTGATCTGATATCATTATATTATTATCTACAGGGTTAGTTATAAAACTGTCCGGTTTTAAATTAATAGTCTGAATTTCTTGCCTGATATTTTCAATTTTACCATTGAAAATATTCATGAAGTCATCACTGCTATATAATGATTGTGTGCGTGTTTCTATTGTGGTCTTATTCCTAGTTAATTTTGCTACAGTATTAAATAAGAATCTAGGATTATTTTTGTTATCTTCAATTAGGGTGGAGAGATACATTGATCTAGCAGCACTAAGAGCTTTTCCATAGCTCAGGAGGCTCTCCTTCCATGCTATTTGAAAAACTACCGATTTAGTTAGATGCCATTTACGTTCTAATTTTCGAGTGGCCTGTTTTAAAGTTTAAAGTGTGTGATCGCTATACCAGGGTACTAGCTCATGAATTCATTACTGCTATATAATGATTGTTTATGTATAAACAATTTATATAATGAATGCATGTTTAGTGGCTAAGTGCTTTCTGCAGCCGATCCAAGCGAGCTAAATTCACTGAGATAAAGTGACAGAACATAGAGTGATAACAGAATTAGCATAAACAGTGTGACGGGGATTTCACTGAAATGTTTTGTGAGTTTTTAACTCATTTTTGCACCAAAAGAAATCTCCAGATGTTTTCTAATGTGAAAATGTACAAGTTAGCTCCTGTTGTTGCTTACGTTA